AAAGCAGAAACTAGTTTTATTTAAGAAAGCTCTTGTATCGCTAAAGTTTCACCCGAAAGAAATATACGGGAAATTAACAAACGACCAAAGAAGTATTTATTATAGACGTGTGTTTTAACTTTTTGTTGTTTTATTTGAAGTTAAGGACGAAGCTACACAAAGGGCCAACTATGCTCTTCCCACCACGGGTATTGAAACCCGATTTCTAGCGTAGTAAGTCCGCATGTTTTAACTTTTTCAAAATGAGGTACGGCTAACGCATATAGTCTTCGTGTAGTTTTGCGCGAAATCCAACAGAAAGTTAAGTACATACTGCACACTTAACAATTAACAAGAAATTCGAGTGCTTTAACGTAATCTTCTGCAACATAACTGCATAACATATTTTTGGACATCCAGTTTTTTTTCCTAACATTTAACGTGAAATTTAGTCATCCATAACGTCTACACTGCCTTGTAGTTAATTAACCTTAACTTTAATTTTCTGTAAATTCTCCTTCATTTATTGAAAACGGGTTCTTGAAGTTTGTAGTAGTCCAGCAAACTTGATTTTGCTATCACCTGACAAAAATAAACATTTCTTGATAAAAGTTTCAGACAAGTCACTAAAAATGTTAGCTTTAAAAGGAAAACAAATCTTGCACACACGAAATTTAAATACGAAATATTTGAACTTGGTGGAAGCCTTCGAAAACAATATAGGTATCATTGTTTACGAAAATGCTAACATATTAAATTGATAATGTTGTTGAATGTGTGTACTATGACAGTTGACAATTAAAGATGTTTTATTTCACACCGTTACTTGCAAGATCATGTTAAAAAAATCAATCTGGAAATTACCAATGAGATTTTTGCATCATGATTCCGTTACTGGTAGCCATTTTGATCACCTCTTGATGTGGCCCTACGAAACGACTCAATTCTTAACTTTATTTTTTTATGATCACTTTATGTTTTAACAATAATCTGTATGTTTAACCCCCCTACGTGCGTAGCATTTTTACTTTTAAAATTTACGTATGTAGTAAAATTACATTACATATATTTTTTGAGGGGGAATAACACTGGGTCTTAATCATAATGTACGTAGATTAAGTACTCTTAACCAGATTTACCAGAAATGTACGATTTACAAAGGCAGAGAAGGCTTAGTTAAGTTCGAACCCTAGTGTTAGTACTAGTAATTACCAAAGAACTGAAGTTGGGAGTTGAAGCCAACTAACGTTAATTTTTGGTTACTAGATTTTGTCTTAGTAAGTTAACTTTTTAGTTTTACTAAGTACACTAGTTGAGTACTTCATTGTTTAACTTTAATATCTGTAAGATAGTATGCAAACTATAGAGCCATATTTTACGTACACTACAGTGTACATAATCTACACTATCATTGCAGTTTAAACTAAAAATAAGTTTATAACATTAACAATATAAAACTCATCATAATTTATATAAATTATAATATATCCAGGTTATATCTTGCAATTTACAGAAGTTTATCTTGGCTTAGGCCTGTTTTATAGATTTAACAAACTCGTAGTCATAAAGTTAAATAACTTACGAAGTTATGGTAATTTAAGCACAAAATGCAGATGAAAAGATTGTAAATTTATAAATTATGAAATTTAAAGGAAACAATATTTTCTTGTTATTCTAAAGGTTTCAGTACTCCCTTTTAGGTTTAATTATGTATTTTAAAAATGCGAGACTTCCCAGAAAGGTTTGAGTTGGGACTGATTTTTGTTACATTTACAACGATTCCAAAATAATGATTTTGTACCAGTTAAACCAAAAAGCAAAGCAGACTTTTGTTAAAAAAGTGAAAATTTATTCTGCAATTTATCCACCATAATTTTATTGATGTAGTGCCGGCTGGGGCATAGAAGTTAAATTGAAATGAAGAACAACCTCACATCTCAAAGGAACAGTTTTTTTTATTACTCTCCATTTTGCTTCATAGTCTTTAGAAGTGTACACAAGCTGTAAATATGACAGATAATACTTAAGGCTCTAAAGTGTTATATACATATATGTATGTGTGTACCCTCTATATTAAAAAAAATGGACTGATGGTTGTGATTTGTATCTTGGTTTTCCTTATGACTCAAGAAAATTTTAATTGATTCTGTTTTATTAGCATGACTTGTTTTACAGTAACACATGCAGAATGTCTTTCTGAGTGCTGTGTACAGTAATCTATATACTAAAAAACTCCTGTTTATTGTTTTTACTTTTCTTTAGTTGGTACCATGCCTTTACCTAGTCGAGCTCGGATATATTCTGAAGCAAATTCACACCGATCACAAGATTACTGGGATTATGAATCACATGTTGTAGAGTGGGGGTGAGTTCAATTTTATACCAAAACCTTGGAAAATGAGATTGAAATGAAAAATACTAGTTCAAAAGTATGTTCCTTATAATTTTTAGTTTATTATATGTTCATTATGCATATGTTATAGGTGAAGACAGTAAACCCTTAGTTATGTATTTAAACATTTGAAAGTGCAAAACGTAATCAAGTTTAAACTTTTTGTCTTGTTTACTTTACTAATGTGTCTGATAATGTTTGTAATTCTATATATTAATTGCACTCGTATAAAATTTTTAACATACTAGTGTGTTTCAAGTATAAATTATCTGGTGTTCCATTAGTGCTTCTCTTGAACATATTTGTCTTTGAGAAATATAGAAATTGAAAAATCCATTACTAGGCTGATGAACATAAATATAGATGCCCAAGTTTAAGGCTTAACTATAATCTTGACATAAACATATATTTTCTGAAGTTGTTTATTAGTATTTTAATGAGAGGTCATGCATCTAAATGTTTGAACTAGCTGTTGCATCATGTTGTTTAATACTTAGATATTTGAGAAACCTTAGTTATTCCATGATAGTTATGCTTTAGGATGTTACAAATTAATCTGTTAAGTAAAAAAGAAACTTATCAGGGTGTTGTACACTTTCTCTGTGTGTATATAATTGTTTTGTGTATGAAATGAATAGTTTTACATGAAATAAAATGTTTGTTATTCACATTGATTAGAAAAAAGTTCTCTGTTGACAGAAACATATTGTTGGGAAATCAACTCTGTGTAAACTGAAAAAATTATATTTAAAATGATTTATTATCTTTAGGAAATTAGTAAAAGGGAAGAACTTGTAAGAGTTATTTTTCATTGAAACTTATTTGAACTTGAAGTGTGTCCTCACACATTTGAAAATGCTTCAATTTAAAATCTCATTTCAATTACCTATTAATGTATAAAGTTTTAAAAAGGTTTGGATTTTTCTCAATTTTTTGAATTTTGGCAGACAAAGGGCACAACGTAAGTTGTGTAAAATAGGCTAGCATTGTTCAACATCTCAACTTCTTGTGACCAGAGATTCTGTTTGTTGAATTTTATATTTTTGAAGATGTTGGCCATTCAAATAGGAAATTTTAATAATTTCTTTTGTTTTTGAGATCTGTGCACTTATGTTTATCAATACCTGATGCTGTAAAAAAACAGTCAGTGCTTGAATTTTGCTGAAAATGACTCTTGAAAGTTACTTTCAGGAAGTTTGTTGGAATGCTATTTTATTACTTATAAATGAAATTCAGACTTTAACGGCAGGTCAACATTTTCTCGTCATAGTTATTGTTTTTGACTTGCCCACAGATACTTCATATTTCATGTTTACTGGATTGTAGTTAAAAAAGAATGGACCTGCACCAACACAAACCTTTTTAGCTAATTCAGCAAGGGTGAAGCTGAGAAGTGTGATGGCCAGGCATGATAGAAGTGCTAAGAACCATGATCCTTTAAGTATGTTCCCATATGTTAAACAGTTCTCTCTCCAACTATCAACTTTAGTTTTATATTCACATTTTGTGTGTTTTGCCAAAGCCAGTTTTGTCATCATCATCATAAACAATAAACTATACAAACACTAACTGATTACTATTTTATAAAATAGGCTTATTCTATACCATTTATGGGCATGAAATATATAGTATTGCTAAACCACCAAAAAGCATAAACTATATCTGTCAGATATTGTTGCATTGTAGTCTAGAATAACTTAGTATTTTTGTGTTGTTATGCTGACACAGAAGAATCGTCATTTTGACCCACCTTTAGAAACAGGAATCATTCTAAAAATTCAGGTAATGATCCAACTTACCAAATTTGGTGGGTTTTTCTTAATAGGATTCTTGTTTTACTTTAAAATGAAAACAAAACATTATCTTTCAGTGTTTCACAAACAATTTTGCCTTATGCAACACTAACATTACATTCTAAAAGTACATGCCATTACCAATGGGAAGGGAAGGAAGTTTTCAAATGTTAATACGTCTTAAATGCTGGTCTATAATTTGATGAGCTTAAAATCTGGGAAGATTTTTAAAATGCTTAGCTCACTTTGTTTTTGTGGGCTGCAGTTTTTTAGTTACTGTTAATCTAAAGAAGGTAGATAAAATGAATTAGCAATATGAATGAATAACAGAAGATGCTCAGCACATAATACACAATATATACCAGGATTCCATAGGAAATGGAGCATCCTGATGTGTTTGATTCTGTAAGTGGATGTTGACTGACAGAGTAACATTTTTTTTTCAGAAACCAAGATGACTACCAGCTTGTGAGAAAGTTGGGTAGGGGGAAGTATAGTGAAGTTTTTGAAGCTGTCAACATAACCAGTAATGAAAAATGTGTGGTAAAAATTCTAAAGGTAAAATGATGACTCAGATATTTTGTTTTCTCAATTTAATTCTTGAAACAGTTAAGTTAGAAATAGTATACAGTGTTCAAAATATCTGGGATGTCTGTGTAAAATACTCATAATAATATGAGATACATGCCATTTTTTATTTTTCACGTATGAGTTAAGGATGTACTGTCACCAATGTGCTATAGTATGAATGGGCGTGCCTACTATTGCACACTATGAAAGTGGCTATTTTTACATATGGACACTTGCATTGTGCTTAAAAAGAAAGCAAACCACAACTAGGAGTGTAACAATAATCAAACTATCAACATATTGCAGTTATATTTGTCCAGATAACAATGCATCGATGGTAAATTTTAGAATTGATAAATTGACTTAGTTTTTCTTTTTTCTGTATTGATCATGAAGCTACGAACTACTTATATTCACAGTTTAAACCTTTGTTCCTTTATTAAATGTGTTTTCTGTTTTGTTTTTATTTTGCTTTATGTAAAAGGGTTATTAAACTGCATTGTGTTCAATTTCCAAATGTCAAAATTGTGTTATATAGCTTTATGCTTTTGTGTAACAAGTGTTGATTGTGAAAGAGCTTTTTCTGTATAAAACAGGCTCAAGACAAAATTCACATGCTCTATGAAACCTGAAAAGATACAGTTTAATGAAAGTTTTAATGTTAGGCTCAGAAATTTCATTGTATGATCCCAATCCTGCAATTAAAACATGGGACAGTGTTAATACCAGAAGAAGAGAAAGCTTTCACAACCAAACAAACAGATAATTAAGAAAATTAAAAATAAACAAACATGTAAATTGAATGTATGTATTTTTGTAGTACTTTTTGGAGACCAAATACACAATAAAACAATACTGACACATTCAAACTCTTATAAACGATTCAAAAATATCATAAACCAGCACACAGATGTTTGTCCAAGATACTGAATTAGTGACCACCTTTGGCAGATATTAATAGAGGCAAAATGTGATCTGTACCATAATGATCATGCCAAAAATTATCTAGAGTACTGGTATATAGTCATTGATACTTTGGTATTTAAAATTTATATAAACACTGTGAATTATAAAAGACTTTATCTGGATTAGTATGTGTGTTTGTGAGTTAGAATGACATTTGTATGGGAAGTTTCGAATAACCAAGAAAAGCTTCGAAAATTGATCAAACTTAAAGTTGATGGTGAAGGGGGAAATTGAGCCACAAAAATATTAAATTCCATGTGATAGATTTTCTTCTCAGTAATTCAAATTTGTGGTTGGTATTCTGTGTGTAACAACATCAAAACATTGCATTTGGCTGACCACACTTAATTAAAAAGCATGAAAATCATTCCTAACTCAGTTAATTAATTTCACTTGTACGTCTCTGAAGTGAAATGTAAAGAATATTCTTTGAAATATACTTACCAAAACATACTTAACTTCTCTCACACTACAGCTACTACTTGACTGTTAGGAATTCCTTCCTTTGCCCATCTAAGCATTGATCAGATTTTTTTTCTCTATTACTCCAGTCTTTTATTCCCCACTTAATTGCTCTTGGCGATATCTGTCTTATGATACTCTACACCTACATCAATGCACCCTCTATCCTAATTCTGTATATAAGCACCTCATTTAGATAATATCATACACTACAGCTATTACTTGACTGCTAGGGTTTCCTTCCTTTGCCCATCCTTTTATTCCCCACTAAATTGGTCGTGGTGATATCTGTCTTGTGATACTCTGCACCTACATCAATGCACCCTCTATCCTAATACTGTATATAAGCACCTCATTCACAGAATATCTTACACTACAGCTATTACTTGACTGCTAGGGTTTCCTTCCTTCGCCCATCCTTTTATTCCCCACTTAATTGGTCGTGGTGATATCTGTCTTGTGATACTCTCCACCTGTGACACCTCTATCCTGGTACTGTATACAAGTACCTCATTCAGATAATATTATCACTTTTTCTTGACAAAACATCCACTAATGGGTTTCTCTGTACTATGTTCTTTGTATTAACTAGATGATTTTTGTAAAAAGTTTTCGGTTTGCAAGCCAATATACAGCATGAATTCCTGGATTACTGTTTCCGGTTCAGAGGCAAATTAAGTCTCTCCTATCCTACCTCTGATATTTTGCTTCGCGCATCAGGAGGAGGGGGGGGCATTATCAGTTGAGGCTGTCCATGACCTTATTCGTAGTAAGATGGAGACATATATTCAGCCTAGTGGTGTTTCTTCAGGGCTTTTGAGGCTGCACTTGTAGGCAATCCTGGACATTCTGGAGAGAATTTAGATTTGCTTTTTCCAGCACCTTCCTTTACTCTTTTGGCTTCTCATAAAGCCAATTTGGATCTGCCTCCTCCGGCTCCTTTTCTTCGGTTGGTCAATCAAGTGTGTGATGTTTTGGGTCTTTTCCCAGTTGCTTTTGAGTCTGCACCTTCCTTGCTGGCAGAAAGGTCTGAGGGTGAATATTTAGTTCTAGCATCAGTACCATATGTGTTCTGCCAAATTGTACAAGCTTCTTCTCTTCACCTCCATTCCCTAGGCCTGTGCACACTATTACATGGACAACTGGTTACTGTTGGTACCATCTCATCAGTTGTTGGAACGTCACACCCAGATTCTACTTTCAGAAGCAACCAAGGCAGGTTTTGTTATTAGAGCCAAGAAATCAATTCTCACTCTAACTCAATATATTGTTCATCTGGATGTCTTTTTCAATGCATATCTCAGTTGGGCTCTGCTGACTCCCATATGGTTCCATGCTATAGAACAGGCAGTCCAACTCTTACTCATGTTTTCTTCTTCCACTGCTTGGATGGTTCTTTCTTTTTTGGGGATGTGGGCATCACTCGAATCTCTCATTCCTTTGGGATGAGAATGCACATGAGATCTCTTCAGTGGTCTCTATGTGGCCAATGGATCATGAACAGCGATCCACTAGACTCCCCAGTCTCCTTATTTAGGATCAACATCTTCAATCTCAAGTGGTGGTTAGATTGGAACAATACTATGATAGTTGTTCTTCTGCCACCACCTTGTCCAGAAATCCATCTCTTCACAGATGCCTTGCTTCAGGGATTGGGTACATATACCAATGGTCAGAATTCCAGGGCCTATGGACGGACAATGATACTTCCCTACACATCAGTGTTTAGAACTTCTTGCTATTCAAAGGATAATGTCTCAAGGTCTGGACTTATTGAGGGGAAAAATTGTCATACTTTACTCTGACAGTTCCAAGGTGATGTCTTACATTTCCCATCAAGGAGGCACTTGGTCCAAACCTCTTTGTTTTCAAACATTGGATTTTCTTTATTGGGCCCACTCCCATCATATCATCCTGCTAGCTTGCTATATTCCAAGGGTGATGAATTTGGTAGAAGATCAATTGTTTTGACTCAACCAGATTCACCTAACAGAATGGATGCTGCATCACAAGGTTTTCTGTTGGATTTGGTCTGGGACACTGATGATTGATGCCTTTGCCACTCATTGGAACACTCAATTACTGGTATTTTGGCCTCCAGTACCTCATCCTTGGGAATTGGCAATAGATACATTCAATCAGGACTGGAGGAGATTGCACCTTTATGTTTTCCTACAGATTTGTCTGTTACCCAGAGTCCTAGCTGTGATTTGTTCAACCCCTTGTCGTGTTCTGTTGGTAGCACCAGATTGGCTGGCTCAACCCTGGTTTCCACTTCTGCAGTACTTTCAGGAATGCCCCCCTCTTCTTATCCATCCAGAAGCTCAAGTTTCATGTATGGAGGTTATGTGACCCTTTGCAAAGCATCAGGATTTAACTTTTAAGGTTGCCATGTATCTGTCTCAGTCTCTGTATAGTCTAATGATGGACATTTATCAATTGAAATGGCACATATATATAGACAATAATGTATTGCGAGGAGGTTGAACCCACTTTGTCCAGAAATGTCAAATGTTTTTTGACTGGCTCTTTGACAAGGGTTTAGCATTTTCCACAATCGCCTTATCGACTACCTTTAGATACTCGGAAAAAAGACCATTTTAGTTACCTAACTGGGATATTAACTCTCTCAACACAGTCTTGGTCAATTTGACTGACCGTGTGACCTTTTTTTGTACTTGATTAAAGTCTTTATAAATTTAATACTTCTAACTTTCAATATAGTATGTATATCTTCACAAAATTTTGCAGTCTTTCAGTTCATATTATAAGTCTTTCACATACAAGGGAAATTATACTTTTTAGTGAAGTATTTTTAATAAAATGAATAAAAATGTGTTCATTAATATATTGAGTATTTGTTTTGAATAGTCCATATGCAAAGTAATTTTCATGTTTTCCTCATCTCAAAAATCTCCTTTATGTAATCCCTAAAACTTTATAAATGCATTTTAAACGTTTTTTCAGTAAAACTTTATAGTTTATCTGTTATTTTCTTGGTCAATTCAACCGGCCTCATAACCACCTAAAAAAAAATCAAAATAAACCTAAATTACCTTTTTCTCTCTAGAATGACTTCATATTGTGACATGAAACTACGTTCGTTTATCCCAAGTAGCTCTAAGTTCGTAACAGTATACATCTATTTATAATTAAATTTTATTGTTTTATAGCTCTTTGAACTATGTTTTAACTACTATCCATGCCATTATATGTTGTAAATTACTCAAGAAACGTGCAACTCATGTTATGCTATCGAATTACATTATCTATGAGCTACTCATGTGCGTGACCCTTGAACCATTTTAATTATATTATTATTATTACTTATTTTACCTAATCTAGTCTTAAATAACTTAAATGTATTTTTACATTTTAGTTCCTTTTATCATAATAAATAAAGATTAAATATGAGAAACAGGAATAAAGTACTTACCCAATCTTATTTTTTCTTGCTGTTGGTTTTCGAAGAGAGTTAACCCAATTTTTTTATACTATAGATAGTAATGTACGTAATAGTTTTTATTTAATTGAATAATGCACCAAAGAATATAGACTAA